TGGAGAATAGAGCGAAGAAGGTTAAAAACGAGTTTTGAAAAATATTTTCTGAGCGTTATATCAAACACACCCTTAGTAGTAATAAATAAAAAGAGATACCACAGGAATATGCTGAACGGACAAAAAACTCTCATGGCAATGAAATATTTGAACTGCAAATATTTTCACAGGAATACAGCACAAATTCTGAACTACTTGTACAAAATTACCAATTGATTTCATTTGAAAAGTTCAAATCCAAAGCTACAAGTACAAGCACACAAATCAGCTGAATCTAAAATGATATTTCCAAACTTCAACAAAAATTAGAAGCCATGGTCACCCCCAGAACACCTTCAGGAATCTATTACTGCCTGAGAGAACAGCTAGCGTTAATTAAAACGGAACTCCACATCTCTACAGCTGGATCCGCCATTGTATGGTTCCTGCAATAAAACAAATGCGGATTTATGATTTGAACTTGTTCTTAGTATTGAACACATTATTTAATACTATTAAAATTTGTGTAACTTTTCACTAAACACATATATATTCAGTGTTGAAAATATTGAGATTCAATTGAATGTTTAATGTACCTGTGAATTCTTGTTGCCAAGAAACAACTCCTCAGATCCTACGACGTTGGACCTCTTTTCTACAGATCCTTGGTTGTTGTTATCAATTTTCTTGGAAGCAATGTGAGACTTTTTAAGACCTAAAAATCCCTTCCACCTAGTACAACTTTTGGGTGGCCTCAACGAAAAAGCATCATCTTCATCCCCATTGAGAAGTTCATCTCGCAGAGTTGTTTTCTGAGAATGGGCGCTTTCTTTGAAGGGCAACAATCTACCCTTAAAGAAAAGCTCGTCAGCACTCATCATTGAGTAATTACTGACGTTGAATTCAAAGTCAGAGGAAACTGGAGCATCCCTATAACTCCTGCTGCTTTCCTTCTTCATCATTTGGTGAAGTTGAGAAGAATGAGAAATAGTAGTAGAATCGACAAAGTCATTAGAGAAGGAGATTCGAGGACTCATAGCTGATGAGTTTTGGTTGTACATGTCTAAGCATGCCATGGAAAGTGCTCTCACACCAACGTCATAAGGTAGTACTGCTCTGTGGATTTGAAACAAAATAAGGACGTTTTTACCTTTTATATACTAATATACTAAGTTTTACTACATTTTTAATGTTATCATGACACGTAGAAGATAATTACAACTACTTCAATAACAAGTGGAATTTTGAAAGATAAGTTAACATGCTATAATATATTAAAATATACTGATATGTAAATATACTATACATTATTTTATGATTTAAATTTGATGAATTTAACCTTCAAAATTCTTTATAATGATATGTTGTACTTTTGAAATTATAGGTTCAAAATTTAATACTATATAATTAAATTTTACTAATTTATCCATGTTTATATCTATATTCTATATAAAAATAAGAATTCAGTTGAAAATGACAATAGACTTTCTCCCTCCTTAGCAACACCCTTAATTAGTTACTCTTGACTCAAATAAATTCTTAAGGAGACCCCTACCACTGTTACAAACAACTGTGTATGTTTGTTTTTATATTGTCAGGAGGAGCGGGGAGGGTTTTACTGGAGGTTCTCA